TTTTGAATTTACTTCGATTTTGCTGCTTGAGATGGCTAGCAATCAGCAATACCAGGTGAGAATGAATATTGCAAGACCTCACTGCGCCTCAGTCGTAGCCGACTCACCATGCTTGCGCCTACTACTCCGTTTCACCTTTGCTTCTCTCAACGGGTTAGGGTTCAAGAAAAAAAAAAAAAAAAAAACCAAAACAACGTCATTTTGGAGAGCACGACAGAGGATCTGGACTCAAGGTCCGCACTCTATCAGAACTGGAATTGGCTTCACACACACTCACAATGGGGTGTTCACGGGGTCGACTTGGTTTGGTTTTACACTATGTTTGGATTGAGTGATTTGGAGAGAAAATAAAAGAAATGGAGATATATGTATTTCTCTTACTTGTTTGGATAACTTAAGTGAAGAGAAATGGGGAGAAATAGAGAGAAATCCATTTCTTTTATAACTCTCATTTTTAATCTTCCCAAAAGTGGAGAGATTGGTAGAGAAAAGAAACCAACAGATTCTTATATTTTCATAATACCAATTTTGTCCCTGTAAAAATAAAAGAAATAAAATCATTGACACCCATGTCCTCAAGATAGTGACAAAATATAAAAATGTTATTTTGGTAATATAACATAAAACAGTTTCTTTTCTTTTCTCTTATGAAATCCAACCAAACAAAAAGGAGAAAAATTACAATAATTTCTTTTCTTTAATTTCTTACTTATCCAAACAAGAAGGAGAGAAATCATAATCATTTCATTTCATTTCTTTTCTCTTATAACTTAAGTAATTATTTCTTTTCTTTTCTCTCCTAGGTTCCCAAACATAGCGTTAGTGTTAAACCGCCACCCAATCTTGCTATAGATTTTCTTTTCGAAATTCGCTATCACAGCTTCAAATTATTGCTTCACCATCTGCTTGCCTATTTGTGAATAAAAAGAAGGGTTGTGATGGGAGAGAGAGAACAAATGCTCTCTAGTATATCACTCGTGATATACTAGAGAACATAAAGGAATTACACAGGTATACTCTCAATTACCTAGCGAATCCATGCCCGAATTGAACCAACTTCTATGTGCCTCTTCCAACCCCGTCTTCACCTCAGAATTGTCTTGACGATGAGCCACTCCGGAATCCACCAAAGCTTCAGGCTCGAATTCTTCAGAATCCACTGAAGAACAACTCTCTCTTTTGTGTAGAATTAAAAAAACAATCCTTTGATGTAAACTTCTAAAACCATGAGTTGAATACTCAATCAAAACATCAAAGAAAACTAGCAAAATATCCCTAGATATAAACCTTAGAATCCAAAAAGAAGATCTGGAGGACTTGTCCAAGTTTTGGGGGAAACCCAACTACTTATAGAAAACCAAAGTAATCCTAGTTCTGGAAGAAAACCAATTCCTTATAGAAATCCAAGAATCTGTGTTCGCGCGGTCCGCTCGAGCGTGGGAATTCTCGTTCGAGCGGAGGCTTCAAAATTGTGTGATTCATATAGGCTTCACGCTCGAGCGAAAGTTTCCACGCTCGAGCGTCGAATCACACCATCCAATATTTTTTCAGGCGGAGCAGAGATGATGTGAGCTTGCAATCCTCACTCGAGCGTCACTTTCCCCGCTCGAGCGGGACGACAAAAATTGGAAAATCTGGAAAACTAGATCCTGTTACAACCTCGGTTTTGATCCATGGAAATTGACAAAGGCACGATTCGGGTTGGATTCGCATCTAATAAACTCATAGCCTCACTAAAATTAAAGGTGTGAAAACAAATACAACTGAAAGGAGTTTTGTCAAACGGGGTTGCCAAGAATAAAACCTAACATGATGTAGTAACTACTATTCTATAGTATTTATCTACTTTCAAATATCTCTATGACAACAACCATTAATCCCATTCTCATTCTCCGTTTCAAAACTAGTTCACCGAAATATTCATGTTAACAACAATTCCCAACATGCGCAAATCACAATAGTTAGCCTCTTCAAGGCAAAATGAAAAGCTTTCCAAATAATCACCAAGATTTTTACAAGTTCCACATTTCATGGTACATAGTCAATTCCCACTCTTCCAACATCACACATTCATATGTTTAACCCACATGTTACCATAATACCTCATATCTCATTCATTCAAATAAAAATTCATTTTCATCAAACATGTTATGAGATTACTCTCATTCATCTTCTTAACACAAAATGATAAAGGATCTCATAGGTATATCCTTATTTTTTCAAAATCCCCAATATCTAGGGTTTTCTTATCAAAATATAGCATTTCCCATTCCCCTTAATAAAGCCCCATTAAAACCCATTTCTTTGATGTGTTTCAAAAGAAGAACATCCTTATTGATAAAAGAAAAGTTGGGATTTTAACCCATTTCTCAAACCCTCTCTAGTTTTGGAGCAAAACAAATTTTACACAAAATTTTTTTTCTCAAGAAATTCTTTAATTCAATCTTCAAGATAGCAAAACAACATATATAACTCAAGAGATTTCCTATCTCAAAGTTTGATGAAGAAATGTTGAAACCCTAGAGCCAAAATGGTTGGTTTTTCAATCTCCACCACACCCAAGGAGCCCTAACCTTTGATCTCCAAAGTTTGAGAGGAAGAGGTAAGGATGATGATGAATCTAGATGCAAAAATCAAAAAGTGTTTTGATGTTTGGGAGGGTTCTCTAGAGAGGAGGAGGAGAAAATAGGGTTTAGAGTGAGAAAAGAGTGTCTAAATTATGTTGCAAGTTCGGCCAAAAAGGCAAAAAAAAAAAAATAGAGTTTCGGATGCCCGTCTGCCGCACGTGCAGAGCACCCCTCACGCACGTGTGGCCCTCACCCCCACACGTGCGGTGGTCCTCCCGCACCACCTCCCACACGTGCGGTGGTCCTCCCGCACCACCGCACGTGTGGGGGTGGTGCGGGAGGACCACCAGCCACCCTTCTCCTCGCACGTGCGGCTTGGCCTCCCCCATGTGCGGCCCTAGCCAAGCAGTCCAGAAAATTTTGGTTTGGCTCCCGGGCACTCCGGACTCGGTCCCACACTTCTCTGGAACACTCGTTATCCGACACCAAATGCCATAAGAATAAGAACCTTAATTTCAAGGAGAATTTCCGAATGTTTCAAGTTCAATGACAAAATAAAAGAGAGACAAGGCAAGAAAGAAAGAAAAGAAAAGAGAAGGAAGAAAAGAAGGACCCAGTCGTCACATATATGAGTAAAACAACTCATTTTTTTTTTATTTCTTTTCCCGATGTGGGATTATCAAATAAAAATTAGCCAATGGAGATTTTCTTAATTATATAAAATTAAGAAAATCAAGAAAATTAGTATGAGATATTGAAACTCTCACAAGGCTTCTCATTAAAAATATCATTTTCTTTATATAATATACTAGTATATCACCCGTACTATGCACGGGATAAAATAATATATTATTTAATAAAAATATGATAATTATATTCAATTTTTTTATATTATGTAAAATAAAAGTAAAATGGAAGCTAGCCAATTGGGATTTTCTTAATTATTTAAAATTAAGAAAATAAAAAAAATTAGTATGAGATATTGATCATAAGTCTCCTTACAAAAAATCTCATTTTGCTTATATAAATGAGAGTATAAGATTCACATTAGGTAAGTGAAATAATTCATTTTTTTCTTCTTTTCTCAATGTGGGATTATAAAATGAAGGTTCAATAAAAGCTAACCAATGGAGATTTTCTTAATTGTTTAAAGGGTAAATTACAAACACACCCTTGAGGTTTACTTAAACTATAAATTACCCCCTATGGTTCTAGAAATTACATTAAGCCCCCTAAGGTTTCTAATTTCATAACAAATAGATCCTTTTATTAATAAATCATCAAGTTAATTAACAGTTTTTAATAATGTTAAAATTTTATTTCAATTAATAATTCAGATAATTTTATTATCGTATAGGTGAACCGTTAGAAATTTCACTTTTTCAATTAATTTTGTTAAATAAAAAATTCTGACAGGGAGGTATTTGTAATTTTCCAAACTACAGGAGGCAATTTGTATTTTAAGCAAACCTTAGGGGTTGTATTTGTAATTTACCCTTGTTTAAAAGTTAACAATTGTTTGGGCGAGAAGTTTATTTTGAATCAAGCAATCTTAACCATTTAATTTTTAATTAGGTCAATCTTTAATTTATTTCGAATCAAACAAATTTAACCAATATATTTTGATAAAACCGCTAAAAGCGCAATTAAACCAGCGAATCAGTCAAACCGAAAACAATTCACTCTATCGGTTAGATCAAAGGACTAACCAACTTCTACAAAAATTAATTAATTAAAATCTTTAAATTTTATTTTAAAATTTAAACCATCTTGAAATGAAACATGCACAAGGCTATAATATTAAATGAGAGTATAAGATTCACTTTATATAAGTGAAACAACTCACTTTTTATTTATTTTCTCGATGTAGAATTGTAATTATTTTAAAATTAAATATTATGAGAGTTTCAAAATCTCATGTAAAATTATTTTTAAAATCAAACGTCTATGTAGGATTATACAATAAAAGTTAAATGGAAACTAATCAATAAAGATTTTTTTAATTGTTTAGCATTAAGAAAATCTTAAAAAAAAAATTGATATTGATTATAGGGTTTTTCACTAAAAACCTTTTTTTGCTTATATAAATGAAAGTATAAGATTAACTTTATATAAGTGAAACAATTCACTTTTTTCTTTTTTTTCTCGATGTGGGATTGTAAAATAAAAATTAAATGGATATGCACATTGAAACTGTGTTTACAAAAGTATCTTCACATGACACATGTGATATGTTAGGAGTATTGTACATGTGTTCTTAAACACACAAATAGAAAAAATTGGTATTGATTATAGAGCTTCTCACTAAAAATCTTCTTTTGCTTATATAAATGGGAGCATAAGATTCACTTTATATAAGTGAAACAATTCACTTTTTCCTTCTTTTCCCGATGTGGGATTGTAAAATAAAAGTTAAATGGAAGCTAAAGGTCA